ATATATATATATATATATATTTATTTCAACTAAAGACAGTGATAGTATCAAACGAAGAAAATGCACCCAGGCATAAAAAGGTCATCGGGTTACATCAGTAAAATTTTTGATACCTCAGCGACGTTATCATCGCTGTCACGAAATATCGACTACGTAACAGAATTACCGGAAGTCATTTTCCTAATTATGAAACAAAAAGGCCGAATAATTTTACGTACCCAAAGCAGGTACCATTCAACGATAATAATAATACTAGCCAAGCACTTCTATCGTAAATTTCCCATCGAAACCATAGCGACGCCCGGCGTCGTCTTGCTGCTGTCTCGTCTCGTTCCCACGTTTTCCTAGCGCAGCGAGAGCAAGTGAGAAAATGATACAGAAAAATACCGAGCAGAAGACCCTCCCGCGGCCGTAATTCTTTAACGAGGAGCTCCGGGGGAAGCGATTTGCTCAGCTGGTTGATTTGTTTTATTATCCTCTAGGGAACTGGAAACAGCTAGCAACGGCGCGGAAGTCGATGCCGATGCTGAAGCCAAGCAAAGGTACGGTAAGACGATAATAGAGGTTTTTGGCAAATCGTACCTTATAGAATATATGTAAAAATGAAAAATTGTCTCGGGCGATAAAATAGACACCGGGTATATATATCTGGAATCCTAATAAAATCCCTTTATTTTCTTCGTATTTTCTACCCTGGAATACACCGTACCAAATACGTACGTATGATCGTATGATTTTTGCCAAGGTCATCGGGGGTTTCGCTTTAAACAAATATCAAACCGACCTCATATTTCGATCTACCACCAAGGACTTCTTTAAGGTTTCCCTTTACTTCCTTATACCCTTGGGCTTTCTCTCGATATTCCTACGGCACTTCCGTATCTCTCCTTTTACTAGCCTCTCTGTCCTTCGGCACAGTTCTTTCTCTCCCCAGAGTTCCTTACGAAGGAGAGCCCTTCCACTATCGACGCAATCTTCTTTTTATCGCGTCTCCATTATCGCTGGAAAGAATCGTGTTTCTCTCTCGTCGCTGCGAGGATTCACAGCCCATCCGGAATCTGGTCGAAGGACCCGGGATACGTTGTTCGGACTTCGCGTAATATCGGATTAGAAGAGAACCGGAAGAAGGGGAAGCGACGAGAGAAGCCTGTAACTCGGTTTGATACGTTATCGTAATTAAAATCCAAATTCCATTAAAGGAGGGACCGGTACCATTGAAAATAATTCAGGGCTGCTGGACTGCCCCTAGTTTTATTTTATGCTTCGTACAATGTACCGAACGTGTCCAGGACCCGGTCTCGGACCGGATGCGAATGCACCAAGCGTGCAGCGAAGATTTCGGTTGTTGCTACTGAAAAAAAGAGCGCTTTTGGTATAAGGTGAAAACAGGAAAATTTACGGGTGCAGGAAATATTTTTTTTTTACAAACTTAAAACCTAACACGTTTCGGTACGGAATTCTCATTAATTAACCATTTTTACTGGATTCTACAATTCCTGTATGTAAAATGTACGGTGTTATTCACGGCGAGCGTACCGACTGAAGTTGGATGCGAATTAACGTGTTCGTTAATGGAGACAGTGTTACCTTGTTGAATGAATGAAAATATATGAAACTTATCATCTCAATAACGTTATGACACAACCTTTAATTTTTTTTAACGTGCCACCACTGGCTCTGATTAATCGAATTATCCATTTGCAACGAACTTCAACCGGGTCGTTTGTCATGAATAACCGTGAACGTTTATACGTGTCCGTATAAGATTATTGTCGCAGTGAAAAATTATTTCGTGCTAAGAATAAGAAATAACAATAACAATAATAACTGTAATTTTTTTTTAAACGTTACCAACATCGCAGACGGAATTTATTCAATAGTCCTTTAGCAAAATGTGCGCTTGGCAAGTTTCAGTTAATATTTTAATCACCTGTTGAGTTTCCCACTGAGCCAGCCTCAGTCTGTTCGCTTCTCTTCGGTCTCCACCCAGTAACACTTTCCAGCCTCCCCTTGGACACTCCCTGGAATCCGTTGCTGAGCGTACCAAGTGTCCAGGGTCTTAACATTTGCCGTGGTATTCGATATGATAGTTTTATTAAAAGTACACGCATTCCTAAGCAGCTGGATTAAATTTTGTCCATCTCTGTTCAGCAGGCGGAATGCGGAATACGTTGACAATTATTTACCGAGCGGGTCCCGATGTCCTGTGCCACCCGCCAATGTTCGCTCGTTCATCCTGTAGCTTAGCTTTTCTTGCAAAACTAGTCGATTTTACTTATCCTTCTGCTCTGGTAGTTTTACACGGGACTCCGGATTTGTCGTTTGTCATTTCGTCAGGATCGGGGGTCAGTTTGACTAAGGCCACTGGGGCAGCTGAGAGTCGTTGGTGCTGGAAAGTTGTGGGAGTCAAAATATGACTAGGTGTGGAATGAGATACAAATACCATAATTTTTTTTTTGTAATTTCTGTATGATTAAGGTATATATTGTTTTTGAATAATTTTTTTGAGTTTTAACTCTTTTGTCATGCAACATGTCTGGAAGTTTCACTCGTGACGTAAATGCGTCTGATTTTTTTTTGCGTCTTTTTAAAAGTCTCTGAACTTTGACACGGCTCTAGAGAGCATTTGGGCCTTTCAGTTTATTTCGTTAGGATCAGGGGTCAGTTTGACGTAGGCCACTGGGACAGCTGAGAGTTGATGGTGCTGGAAAGTTGTGGGAGTCAAAATGTGAGCAGGTGTCGAATGAGATACAAATACCATAATTTTTTTTGTAATTTCTGTATGATTAAGGTATATACTGTTTTTGAATAATTTTTTTGAGTTTTAACACTTTTGTCATGCAACATGTCTGGAAGTTTGATTCGTAACGTTTTTTGCGTCTTTTTAAAAGTCTCTGAACTTTGACATGACTCTAGAGAGCAGATAGAGAACATTTTTTCAATCATTTGAATTTGACTTCCGGGTTCGGAACTTCCGGTGACGGTATCCTCGGATGTAAATATCGTAGAATGACGTTCGACGACTGCATAAGATTCTGGATCTAGATGCCTTGAATAAGATTCTAATAATTTTATCTCGTTCGTATGGGAGCTAAAGAATTTTTTTGTGTATTTTTTGTTATATATCCTAACTACATTACGAAAAGTTTCTAAGACTCAGCAGGACTAACTAAAAGGATCTTTTGAATTTGTGTGAAGTCAGGAGTTCATGGAAGGTTGCCGCGTAGATTTCGTTCTCTTATTTTTCTTCCTCTCTTTCTTTACTATCGAGTTCACTTTACAGGCTAGCTTGATCTCGAGCTCGGGGCTTAAGTCTCGATAATCCCATAGGATAAGAGTGGTTCGGGTTAAGAATTGGCAGCGAGGAGAGAAGAGGAGGCGCGGACGGAGAGAAAGAGAGAGTAAAAAAATAGAGAGCGGAGAAGATTGAGGATTGGTCCAACGAAGCTGTAATACTGGATGAAAAGTCGAGATAGGGAGTCCTCAACGCGAGTCTGCGCGGATTACGCTAATAGAAAGTTCGTAAAATTTATACGAACGTATTAAAAGTTAAATTTATTTATTTTTCTTTTTTCCCGCCTCGTTTCTCTTGGTTCTAGCATTTTTGACTTTGTTAAAAACCGAGTTGAGGTAATTTTCAAAATAAAAATAATCCTTACACGCTTATTTGAAATTATTAGCTTTGGCTACTTACGTGATCTACCGTGACACCACTGACGTACAATATAAACTACCCCCGTTTCTTATATGGCAGCCAAAAGTGGAAAGTGGTGTTTAGCTACGAACGTCACTTTTCAAAATTACAAACTTTTTTATACCTTATTTTCATTTTTTTTTCACCTTTTTAAACTTGGCCATGTCGAGTCTAATGTCGAAATTGTCTGTTTCAGATTTCACACTGAGATCCACATGACGACGTTCACGTTCATGGAAACACATATAGCCAACCTTGCGCCACTGTTGATTTAATTGGCTCGTTGCCATCTTCATCTTCATCGTCTTTGTCGCCGATGGCCTCGTTACGTCTGGAATATTTTCAAGAAAATTCCCTCGAAGTACCGACGCTAATAAAAACCCAATAATTTACCATCAAGGGACTCGGGCTTCATCGACTTTAACGTCAAACTCGATCCGGTGTTAAACCTACTTTCCTTTTCGAATTTTTGAAAATTAAAAAAAAAATCCATAATATTTCCAATCGTCAGTTCTAAAAAAATCATTGATTTTTGAAGTACCTCCGCGAGCAAGATCAAAGGTCAGTGTCGTGTGAAATAAAAAAAAAAATCCGTGTCAAAAACTTTTGAAAAAAGAAACTTTGAAAATAATATTTCAAGGGTGAAACAGGTGTGTAATCCAAAACTCGTAATGCCACAGCAAGTAAGTAACTCGTGATGTCTTGTTGCTGTTGTTGTATCGGTGCCAGCGGAAATGGTACCGGTACCAGTAGCAGTGCTAATTCCGGAAGTAATGGTGACGGTGCTAGTGGTACCGGTGGTCTCGGCATCACTTCCGGTCTTTCGGCCCTCTTATCCCTCATTGTCGTCACGGTCGCCATTACAACCGGCGAGTGGCTGTTGACCGAGGAGAAGCTGCCAAAAGCGGCGACTGCCAACGTCTCAATTGACCCTGACAGTAAGGTCACCTACAGCGGTCTCTGGAGAGTCTGCGTCGCCATAAGTGAGTGAAATTTATTTTAGGCGTGGTATAACAATAACAAGCCCTGAGTTGGAAACTAGAAATTGCAGGCATTACACTTTTGCACAAGTGTCAAAGTTCATGGTTACAGCGACCGAGGGATGATGCATGGACACACGTGCACAGATTCGGGTATTTGGATTTACGACCTGCCTCAACACCCATTATAGTTTCGTCCTTCTTGATCTTTATTAAAATCGATTTATCCGACCCCTGTATTAGATACCGGATAAGGGCGAACTATCTTGATGGTATCGAGGGGGATGATTTTCAATGGTTTCGGACATCAATTCCCAAGTGTCAAGTTGAGAAATGGTGGGAATTTTCGTTTTTTGTTGGCAACACTCAAAATCTCGGGAATATAGGTCTGAGAGGTTCGTAGCACGGGTCCGCGTCCCTCTGTTGAATTGGGGACAGCCCCGAAATCCTACTAAAGTCAGGGAGCGCTAAGAAGTTTGGATTCGGATGGAAATGCCAGGGGATAATGCGTGGGGGGTTCGGGGAGGGTGAGATATAGGTGGTGTCGCTATGACTATACCGATTCTAGCTTTTTGAAGGGCGAAGGACTAAGAAGGTGACTCCTAAGTAGGAGCTTGCGGAAGAGGCGCCAATTGAATGGAGGCTATTCGAATAAGGGTTGGCTTGGAAAAGTTTTGGGCTTTTTAGTTTCGTCGACAGCCCGTTAGGGGTGGACGGGTATAATAACCTATGAAAGTGACCCGAGTTTGTAACGGTCGAAAAAAACATTTTCTATTACAAATTTTTTTTTACTTTTCATTTTCCACCCTTGGTACATGATTTCCAACTGTTACGTCACGCACCCGGTAAAACTCCGTAGGCACAAAGTTTTGGAAGGTTGGTAGGATTTTTGGGTCTCGAACGGGTTGTCAGTCACTTTATCACAAATCCACGGTGCTCGTAGATTTTCATTCAACGACAATACTGAGGCATATCCGCCCTTGTACATTAGCCAAATTTGTGTCGTGGGCAGGAGATTTATTAGCAGTTCGACAGGCCCACAAAATGGGACTCGGGGGTTGAATTTATTGTTTTAACAAATTGGGACTCAAAGGGGTTGTCAGTCACTTCATCACAAATCCACGGTGCTCGTAGATTTTCATTCAACGACAATACTGAGGCATATCCGCCCTTGTACATTAGCCAAATTTCTGTCGTGGGCAGGAGATTTATTAGCAGTTCGACAGGCCCAGAAAATGGGACTCGGGGGTTGAATTGATTGTTTTAATAAATTGGGACCCTGGGGCGCGCACAGTTTTTGGTCTCAAAGAGGTTGTCAGTCACTTCACCACAAATCCACGCGGTGCTCATAGATTTTAAATTCAACGACAATACTGAGGCATATCCGCCCTTGTACATTAGCCAAATTTCTGTTGTGGGTAGGAAATTAATTAGCAGTCCGACAGGCCCATAAAATGGGCCTCGGGAGTTGATTTATTTTTTTTTAATAAAATTCGACCCTGGGGCGCGCACTATGCCATTAAGCAAGATTTTCCAAATCGAATTGCGATGTTCGAAGAATCGTGTATCTAGCGAGCGATTATCGAATGAGAGTCGAGGAAAACTAGTAGGGGCAGATACTCTTTGATGACGGAGAGAGAACGGAAGGAGACAGAGAGAAAGAAAGAAAAAAGAAAGGTGACTCAGTCCTGTGCCGTGATTGCCTTTTGTCGGGGTGCACCTTTAAAATCGCTGGTTGGCCTATTGATTCGTTTGCGCAGTAACCTGTTACCGTGTTTGCACGCCGCTTCGACACGCGAGTGCGAGAGAGAGAGAGAGAGAGAGAGAGAGAGAGAAAAACGAGTAAGTCTCTCTTGTAATTCGCAAAGTAGGACCAGGCAGCGATTTTGTTCAGTAATTCATCCGCCACGATAGATTACAGAAAGCGCTCTGGTTTTCAGAATTAATTAGCGGCTGAATGCATTACCAATTAACGTGCGCTCATATTAATAATTCAATCGAATCGCAGTCAATTTCCGAGCATTGTGAAGTAACGAATAAATTGCACGTTGTGTTTCGCGGTATCGTTTGTATTTAACGACTTTATCGGTACAGCCGAGAATTCGGGGAGCTGAAAATTTTAATTGAAATAATCGTCCCTGCAGCCCGTTGTGTTTGCTCCGCATGAATATACAACGAGGAACGAGAAAGTAAAAGGGGTAAATGTAAAGTCGGATAAAGGGGAGGGAGAGGGGATCGGTAGGACTTGAATAAAGACAAAGAGAAAGGAACGCGAGATCGTGAAAATATTTCCATAAGATCATTTCAGGGGTCCTCGTAGCTCCCGCACATTCTTCCCTGGTCTTCCTTTGCCCATAAAGTAGCAATGTTTTCTCCAGCGTCGGGACGCCTCTCGCGTTTTCCCTGCTTTTAAAGAAAATATTTTTCCTAGCTACCGCGTTGCGTAGCTCCTGGAAATGGAAAAATATGCATGGTATCTCTCGCTTCCACAGGCTTCGTCTCTTCGTTTCGCTCTTCTTCGTTTTTTCATCTCTTTTCCCTCTTGTGTCCGGAAAATTCACCTTTTCACCACACGCTTTAAATTACCCGCCAAAAAGAAATCCACCGTAACCACTATAGCATCAGCATACCATAATGTCACAGTGACGACGTTAATCCTTCGTATTCCATGCTCGCACAAATATTCCCAGTTTCGGGTATTCGGCTGAAGAAAATTTAACTTGTCAGAAACGAGTGACGTATCCTCCCAATCCTTGTCTTCTACGTGGTTCCAGATTTCCAGCGTGTTTCCCGTCGGTACTTTTCTCCCGGAGAATAACGAGTCTTTCCAAACCAGAAAGTTCTAGAATAACGGCGCGACCGTAAGAGAGTCTCATTTGAGCGTCCATTTTCGTCGAGGAACAAGGTGGCGCCTCTAGCGGCCGAGCGATGCAATCAGAATAAAGTGCGGGACTGCAGAGCGGTTCGCCGTAAGATGGCAGTGACTGCGGAACCCATTGAAAAAGAAACGGACGAATGACGCGGAATTATATATGTTTTAACGAATGATAATCGAACCGCTTTGTTGTTTTCTCCATTGCCGATAACGACGGCGTCATAGCTGCGATAAATATCATTGCCGCTGCTACTGGCCTGACTACCCAAGCGTATTTTTAATACTTGGACCGTATCCAGCATGTCGCATCTCTTTAACGAGTATGACTTTAACGATGCTGAATGCTCCTACCCATTTTATTGATCAATTACTGGGACTCTTTTACACGGAGGTTGTCAGGTTAGACGTTGAGTTCGAAGGCCTTTGTAATACCTGTCACTGTCGCAGCATTTCCTACCCTTAAGTTCACCTCGTTCTATGTCACCCCATCGATCTCACCCTCGATTCATAGTCATTCCTTTTTTTTTTTTTATTTTTTTCAATCGAGGGTCGGACACCTTCCGTTAAGTAAGGGTCGTTTTTTTTTAATACCAGATTTTCTACAGTTACCTTATCCTCTCTGCCTTTCTCGCCCTTCCTGCCTCTAGACATTTTTTTTCCTCCTAGCTAACGGCATAAAATCGGCTTTTAATTCGTTCGCTACCCTCTAGGCGGTCGTTGACGTCGTAGATTTTCAATTCCATTCGATTTCACAGCACAGGGCTTCCAAATGAGATGGAGTCTACGCGCAGTAAAGAAATGCTCGACTACGAAACCCGGAATGCGCCGAGTAAAAGGTGAACGATTGCCAAACGTTAGAGCTCGCGAAGAACAGTGGATGGGCCGAGGGGGGTAGCGGAAACTGGGATCAAGGGAGTCTGGATGCAATACTGGAAGTCTTGAGGGAGCAAAGTGCCAGGGACATCGTAAAACGTATATTGTAACCTCTTCGACAACGAAATTGCATTTAGGCAAGGCTAAAACCTAATTTACAGCCATTTGCGCGATTGCGATTTTTACTTGGTCTTATAGAGAGGCGACGCCGGCGGCAGCGTCTGGTACTATATGTCATTAGATCGAGGCAAAATTTATGGGAGAAGTCTGAGGACGTTTCGAGTCGACTGACAGTTATATAAAATGTCTTCGTTTCTCTAAATATATATATTGTATATATACCAATTTTTCAGTACTTGCAGTATCCTCGGAATCACGAATCAATTTCCATCCTGACTTCCTTGCATTTTGTATATGCAAATATTTGTAGGCGGTGCGACATCTGGTGAGGGGTCTGACGTACCATTGACAGTCAAGGGGACGGAAGGGATTTTTACTGGATTCTTGCTACTGGTTCTTGCACCGTTCTTTTGTTATTTTTCTTTACGTTAAATTACAAGAGTGCCAGGACAATAAACAAAAGAGATATATTGCAAAATATTAGAAACACAAAGGATTTCCTATATCGATTCTCGGCTTTACAAGAGGAAATTCTATAGTAAGCTTTCCTGTAGTTGCCGCTGCTTAAGCATTGTGAATGCACCCATTCAATATTTACATTGCTAAGTATACCTATACGGTAACAATAAGTGATACGTACATTAAATACTGATAAGGGTTGAGGGGGGGGGGTGTAGTGTATAGAAATTCTATAGAGAATTGATATCGTCAATGAGAAGGTGGATTTTGTATTGCCGAATGAAATAAAACAAAATAAATAGCATTAATACAGGGGTTGTATTACAATGCAAAAGAATTAAATTAAACGTACCCTTAGTTTTGTTTTTATTCGTTAAATAAGTTGGTAGCCTTAAGTAGCTAAACCTGAAGGTACGATCCACCCTTATATGATTTCGCTCCTTTTCATCCCCCTAACCAGACGCCGTCACCTTTTCAAGCCTGTTCCCAGGGATTAACAGCTTCCTCAGGGCGCGTACACGCGTAGCGATGCTTTGACATCGAGGTTGAGAAACTCATCGCATTCTTCAAAATTCCCAGGGCTTTCGCATTGAATTTCAGGGGGATGGATCAGATCGACCGGCCTTAAGCCGCTCTTCCAAAGCACCGAATACACTATGGCACAGTGCATTCACTG